GTGTGTGTGTGTCTGTATCTGTGTGTGCATATGTGTGTGTATCCGATTTGTTTCTCTCCCAGTGACTAACCCAAACCCATAACGTACATAAGTATGAGGAGACTAAATAGAATGTGTCACACGCAGCCATCGGCGAAACGCGTCATTCCAATATATAATACTGTGTATGTATACATGTATACTGTTTATATATACATGTATACTGTATACACACATGAATGTGTGTTGTATATATATGCATGTGTAATATATATATATATATATATAATATATATATATATATACTAATTTCAGGGCAGCGAATACGTTTTGCAATTGCTCTTCTTCATAGGAGATACCTTGTTCGAGCACACCACCGCAGATTAGCGTGCAGGACTATACGCCGATAGGAACACAGATAGGGTTTTACGGTTTTTAGGGTTTTAGTTGCGACTGCACCTGCTCATTCAATCGATAACCTGATACGATTGATTGTAGGCTTGGAACACAAAGTCTTTACGCCGTACATATATACATACATATACACATACATATATACATACATATATATATATATATATATATACATACATGCATACATACATACATACATACATACATAAGTGCATATATACATAAATACATACATACATACATACATACATACATACATACATACATACATACATACATACATACATAAAATACATACATACATACATGCATACGTATCAGTACCACGTGCATACCTAGGAAAACCACGGCACCAGAGAACAGGAAGAAGAACATGACGGTGTTGAATACCACTGCGGAGAGTATTGGGTACCAATACATGAAGGCTCGCAGACCCGTGAAGTGGGCGTCAAACTGTAAACGGGCCGAGTACAGCTGCACAGGCTTCGACAGGCTCACTCTGGTAGAGCGAGCGGCAATGGAAACGGCGTGTGAGGGAGGATGGATGTGTCTTGTGTATGCCATCGCAGTGTGGTATGGGTTAGGAATTGGGATGTATTTGACTAAGAATTGGTGTGTGCTGAATTAGGACTTGGATGGTATTTCATTAGAAATTGTAATTGTATTGTTTTTATATTAGGAATTGGGTTATAATTAAGAAGGAATTGAATAACATGTGCTTCGCAGTAGAGTCGATGAGAATAGCAGCAACTGTGCAAGCAAAATACTGAGGGCTCGGTATATGACGTTCCCGTGGGCGACTATAATAACATCCCTAACAAACATGTTACACACATAATACATCCCTAACAACATGTTACACACATAATAACATCCCTAACAAACATGTTACACACGTAACAACATCCCTAACAAACATGTTACACACCGTATGGCTGCATATATATACTACGTGTAGCTGATAAAGAGCCTCGTGCATGAGCGGCCAATCTATCGTAGGCGGATGATGTAGACCATGCGTACGTCTCGTATATAGTAGCAACCTTGTACAGGCAGATGCTGAGCTTGCAGTGGTCGGTTACTTCTAGAGATACTTCGCTAATCGGATGAGTTTCTATATACTGTATCTTTTGAGAGGATAAGACGAGAGCCTCGGATATGGACTTAACGCTTGGTAACAACAATTTTTAGGCGTGTATATAAAGCTGTGGTGGATGTGAGTGCACCCCCTGTGTGTGACTCAAGGTTTTAGAGTTTTAGGGTCTGGGGTTTTTAGGACCCACATGCATATTATGAGGAAAAAAAGTATTTCAGGCTTCGGATAATACGATGATCAACAATGCTAACGTACGCCAGACCGCGGACAGCACTGAGCATCCCAAAATATAGCTCTGCCATATACACGCACTCAAAGACCCGCAAGTACTTCCTTCTACTGAATACCAGTATATATATATATATATATAAACATATGTACATATATATAATGATCGTATTAAAATACATGTACATTTCCGTACCTGAGTGAATTAGTCGGCGTGTTCCCATCGTCCGTGAGCTGCTCCATCAGAAAAGTGTGCAGTGTCTGCTTCTGCTCTGTGACGCCAGCCAGTAACCAAGGACTAAAGACTACCGTCGACATGACATACAGCAACGGCGACTGGTAACGCAGGATCGAGTGTCTGCAGATAGATGCGTGTGAAGTGAAGTGATCCGGTTTGAGGTGCATGTGTATCCTACTGTGCCCAATGCCATATAGTTATTACTGCTGTGTCTATCCCTGCTGTGTGTAGGCCACGTAGCGTGACGGTAACATGACACTTATTGGATGTAGTAGACTACAATACGTGAGACGGACGGTCTGTACTTGATTGGGTAACATTAAAAAGTAAAGGATTCAAATTGCAAGGTTTTAGAATCGAAACAAAAATTTCCACCATACACAGCCACTTCAAGCAGCACATATCCGATTTGTTTCCGCACTATCAGGACGCCATTGGGTAATATTGGATACCCAACGATTCAAATTCCAAGAAATCGGTAGAATACAACCAACCCTCCACCATACACAACCACTTCAAACAGTACACCTTCGCAACGTTAAACGTTAAAACACATACCTGGACGATTCAAACGTAATCGTCTGGACCACTTTCTCCCCTTCGAGTCGGTCATTATACAGCTCCACCTGGATCATAAACATCCCGAAATCTTTGTTTACATCAGACTCGAGCACCTCGAGGAAGATGCTCATGTCGTACTCTTGGCCTGCGCGAAGGAAGGCAGAGCCGGGCTCAGACATCCTTACCTGTGGAGAAAAGTACATACACATGAGTGAGTGAGTGAGTAAGTGTGTATGGGTATCGTATCGATTCGTAACAGGCAACCTATGTTGCGGGAGTGTGAGTATGTAGTAGTACACGATTAACCGCATCCCATGTGTGCTGACGGGCAACAACGATGAAGTCGTGTTGGGTTTTTGATCTGATGGGCTATCAGGCACACGAAAATCCCGATTGCATACGCTGCGTGCGAGCGAATGTACATTTGCGTTGACAAAACCACTACCCCTCTCACCTTACTGACACCACAGTACCCTTGATTATACCCGTTTTTTACGCTTGATTCCGTTTTTTACGCCTGATTAGCGTAGTTGGATTACTGATAGACGTAAATAGTATGGCTTAACGAGGTCACGGGTTGCAATACTTCGGCTTGTTCGAAACACGTGAACATCGTGGTCCAACAACTCACCAGTGTGGTCGGCCTATCGTTCATCACATCGAAGTTGAGATGGATCGACTCGATATGTTGGGCACTGGGCAGGTACAAGTAACGGAAGATACTGTACATGGTGAACGAAACCGTGGCCATCATCCAGGCCACTGTCAGGAGCGAAAACGTTAACTGTTTGAGCCTGAGCCTGAGCCTCCTGATTAGTAATGAGTCTATTTACTTAGCCTGGTACGATCAGCTATTGTTTATCTGGAATGATAAACGTTTGATTCGCCGCGAGCTATGTCGCCAGAGAGTATACGTGGTGATGCAACTCTGGTGTTCAACCAGGCTACTGCATATGGCCAAATGGATAGGACACATCTGTGAACTGGGCTACTGCATAAACTTTAAAACCCTAAAACATATGGCCAAATGGATAGGACACATCTGTGAACTGGGCTACTGCATAAACTTTAAACCCCTAAAACATAAAGCCAAATGGATAAGACACATCTGTGGGCATCTCAATTCAATGTAATTTGTGCCTTCGATATCGATTGAAGTTCTGTACTCAGAGGGTCGCTCATCAGTGCTTGTTACGCAGCTTCTGTGTGATTGATCATAGACGCGACAAGAGGAAGCCCTTTCTATATCACACACATTCACTGTGTTAGCTTTCTAGGAATATTTCTGTGGGGCAAAGACAGGCCAAAAATAAAGAAATGTTGCAGGCAACAATATGCATACTTATACGTGTACATGTCTCTCTCTATATATAATGATGTGTACACATGTTTGGGTGGGTGTGCACACGTGTACTTATATATATATATATATATGTATATACATATATAATTTTGCCTAGTCGATCAGGAAATACGACAGTATACCTCATACAGGAACGGTCACAATAGGCAGACGACAACCATCGCACAACAAACCATACCCACACTGAGCAAAGTCAGGAGAAACAGCATCTTAGCTCCGTTTTTGGACAGGAAGGCAAGTATATCTACCGCTTTCTCTGTTGAGACCTGAGGGAATATAAAGTGACTTCATTAAGTACAGATTATTATACTATACAAGTCCGCACACATAGCTCCGCAGGTAGCGTTCGCCGTATCCAACCAAGGTCCTGCACCCAGAGTATACGCAGAACAAAATACTACTGGTAGAACCAGTAGATTGATACTTCTGCCTCTTGGCATAGTATGAAAGTACAGGGGTGTTGTACTTGTACACTACATTTGCAGGCGAGAGTACTGGGGTGGTTGGTCAACATAATGTACAAGGAGGATAGGGGTGCCAATTTCGACAATCGTGACTCATTCAACAAATTTAATACACTAGCATCGCGATAACATAGCATGATTCGCCTAGGGAAAAAGATAGTTCAAGCATGCAGATATGTAGGTACAATTGCCAACGTAATAGAAAATGTCTTGTTCAGTGACAATATTGCTAACAACCTTGATTTTTACTAATAAGTATGCACTATCGAACAGCTAATGATCGAATTATGCGAATATATATATAAATATAAATATATATATATATATATATATATATAATATGAATATTATATATATATATATAACACTAGTATTTATAATAAGTAT